ACTGTTCACAATAGCAAAAAGATGGAAACAACCTAGGTGCCCATCAACGGATGAATGGATAAACAAATTATGGTATATTCACACAATGGAATACTACCCAACGATAAAGAACAACGTTGAAACCGTGAAACATAACATGGAGGAAGCGGGAGGTCACTATGCTGAGTGAATTTAGTCAGTCACAGAAGGACAAATATTATATAAGATCACTATTACAAGAACTCAAGAAAAGGTTTAAACACAGAAAACATTCTTTGATGGTTACGAGGGTGGGGAGGGAGGGTGAGGGTTATTCACTAACTAGATAGTAGATAAGAATTATCTTAGGTGAGAGGAAGGGCTGCACACACTACAGGGGAAGTCAGCACAACAGGACTAAACCAAAGCTAAGAAGTTTCCTGAATACAATCAAACACTTTGAGGGACAGAGCAGCAGGGGCAGGGATCTGGGGACCATGCTTTCAGGGGACATCTGGTCAACTGGCATAATAAAGTTTATTAAGAAAATGTTCTGCATCCTACTTTGGTGAGTGGCATCCGGGGTCTTAAAAGCTAACAAGTGGCCATCTAAGATGCATCAATTTGTCCCAACCACTGGAGTAAAGGAGAATGAAGAACACCAAAGACACAAGGAAAGTATTAGCCCAAGAGACAGAAAGCGCCACATAAACCAGAGACTTCATCAGCGTGAGACCAGAAGAACTAGATGGTGCCCGGCTACCACCAATGAGCACCCTGACAGGAACACAACAGAGTCCCTGATGGAGCGAGGGAAGGGTGGGGTGCAGAACTCAAATTCTAGTAAAAAGACCAGACTTAATGGTCTGAGACTGGAGGAACCCCAGAGAACATGGCCCCCAAACTTTCTGTCAACCCAGAACTAAAACAATTCCCAAGGCCAACTCTTCAGACAAAGATTGGACTGGACTGTGGGACATAAAATGATACTTGTGAAGAATGTGCTTCTTAGCTCAAGTAGATACATGAGACTAAATGGGCAGCTTCTGTCTGAAGGTGAGATGAGAAAGCAGGAGGGTTAGGAGCTGGATGGACACCGGAAATCATGGGTGGAAAGGAGGACTGCACTGTCACAGTATATGGAGAGCAATTGGGGTCACATAACAATGTATAAATTTTTTGTATGAGAGACTAACTTGAATTGTAAACTTTCACTTAAACTACAACAATAAAAAAAATAGTAATAATAAAAAGACTTACCACCAAGCTCACCAACCTTGGGTAAGTCATTTCATATAGAAAACATGGGGCTAGAGCTTAATGACTTCTGAGTCCTGTACAACTCTAATATTCTGGAGTACTATGGCTCTATTTGTCCTTTTCCAAATATGTTGGTTATTGGATTTTAAAACATACTTTTTTAGAAAGAAATTCAGTGTTTTTGTTTTTAAGAGGTTTAGTTAGAAATAGAAGTTGAATTTTTTCAAATGCCTCCTTGGTATACATTACATTGGGATATAAGATTTTACGTTTATTAATGTAATGTAATTTGTGGCTGTTACATTAACTTTGTAACCCTGGAATGAACATTACATTACTTGAATAATTCTTCAAAATATTTCTCTATTCAATTTTTCTAAGATTTTATTAGGATTTTAAAATCTATGTTCATAAATAAAAATCTTACTATTTTTTTTCTGTCCTTTGTCTTTTTTTTTTTTTTAAAAGAAAAATGACATTTACTTCATCAAATTAATTGTGTACCTTACCATCATTTTCTATATTTTGGGAGTATATGGAAATGACTTGTTCTTTGACAGTTCGGAAAAGTCTTCAGGAAAGCCATCACAAGCAAATGACATTTCAATTGGTTATTCTTTGACAGCTTATGGATTCTTTCCTATAACCAGTCTTTACATATTCTCTTTAAATGTCAGTTTTATAATATTCCATCTTTATAAGGAGCCAGACATTTTGATAACAGTAATTGAATTTTTACCATTAAGCTGAGAGATTACTCTTTTCAAAGCTAATTGATTTATTTATACATCTCCTATTCAATTATAAATTTACTAATTTGTACTTCTGATGACTGAACTGATGCGTTGCCAATTTAATCTTTAAGAACTAATTAATGGTTTTATATTATTCTAATTTTTGTCACTCATGCTTAGTTACTTCCATTCTGATTTCTTTTTTCCTTTCTAAACTGTAACTATATAGGCCTTTAAAAACAAACAAAAGAACATTTCTATTTTTATCTCTAATACAGAAATTTAAAGCATTTTTTTTCTTATACTACTGCTTGGTATCATCGAATACATTTTCTAGCATGGAATTTGAATTTTCATTACCTTAAATATTATCATTCAGGGTATCCTCTACAACCCAAATGTTATTTAATGAAGTATTTTGTATCTCCATGTGTTCGATAATCATTTAATTCTCTGTGTGCTGTTTATTTCTATGAAGACAAACTATCAACTTATCATTTTTGCCTGTTCTCACATTTCTGGCTACTTTTCTTTCATGTACAGTGGTCCCCCCTTATCTGTAGGGAATGCATTCCAAGACCCCCAGTGGATGCTGTTTATTTCTATGAAGACAAACTATCAACTTATCATTTTTGCCTGTTCTCACATTTCTGGCTACTTTTCTTTCATGTACAGTAGTCCCCCCTTATCTGTAGGGAATGCATTCCAAGACCCCCAGTGGATGACTGAAACCACACATAGTACCGAACCCTACATATACTATGACTTTTACTATACATACATACTTATGATAAGGTCTAATCTATAAATTAGGAACAGTAAGAGATTAACAACAATAATAATAAAATAGAACAATTGTAACAATACTCTGTAATAAAAGTTATATGAATGTGGTCTCAAAATATATTTTTTTATTGTACTTTAGGTGAAAGTTTACAGAATAGTTTTTCATTAAACAGCCAGTATACATATTGTTTTACGACACTGGTTAACAACCCCACGACATGTCAACACTCTCCCTTCTCCACCTTAGAGGACCTTTTTTTTTTTCTTGGTGAAAATATACATAGCCAAAGATACACCATTTCAAAAATTTCTACATGCACAATTCAGTGACATCGATTACATTCTTCCAATTGTGCTACTATTCTCACTTTAGATGGTTTACAGAACAAAACAGTTTCTCATTAAACAGTTAGTACACATACTGCCCTGTGACAATGGTTAACCACCCCACTACATGTCAACACCGTCCTTACTCAACCTTGGGTTCCCTATCACCAGCTTTCCTGTCCCCTTCTGCCTTCTAGTCCTTGTCGCTGGACTGCTGTGCCTTATTAGTCCTGTTTTGTTTTACGGGACTGTCCAATCCCCGGCTGAACGGTGAACCTCGGGAGTGACTTCATCACTGAGCTAAAAGAGTGTCTGGGGGCCATACTCTCAGGGTTTCTCCAGTCTCTTTCAGGCCAGTAAATCTGGTCTTTGTGTGTTAGAATTTTGTTCTACATCCTTCTCCAGCTCTGTCCAGAACCCTCTGTTGTGATCCCGTCAGAACAGTCAGTGGTGGTAGCTGGGCACCGTCTAGCTGTACTGGACTCAGTCTGGTGGAGGCCTTGGTAGCTGTGGTCCATTAGTCCTTTGGACTAATCTTTTCCTTGTATCCTGTTCTCTTCATTCTCCCTTGCTCCAGAAGGGGTGAGACCAGTGGAATATCTTAGATGGCTGCTCACAGTCTTTTAAGAGCCCAGACGCTACTCACCAAGTAGAATGTAGAACATTGTCTTTAAAAACTGTGTTATGCCAATTGAGCTTGATGCTCCCCAAGCCTACGGTCCCCACAGCCCTCTGCCCAGCAATTCAGTCCCTCAGGGAGTTTGGATGTGTCTATGGAGCTTCCATGACCTTTCCTTGTACAAGTTGTGCTGGCTTCCCTAGTATTGTGTACTGTCTTACCCTTCACCAAACTTACCACTTACCTATTGTCTATTTAGTATCTCCCCCCCACCCCTCCCATCCCTTGTAACCAACAAAGATTGTTACTTTTTGTGTGTAAACTTTTTCATGGGTTTTTACAATAGAGGTCTCCTACAATATTTGTTCTTTTGTGATCGACTTATTTCACTTAGCATAATGTCCTCCAGTTTCATCTATGTTATGAGATGCTTCACAGATTCAACATTGTTCTTTATCATTGCATAATACTCCATTGTGTGTATCTACCACAGTTTGTTTATCCATTCATCTGTTGATGGGCATCTAGATTGTTTCCATCTTTTTGCTATTGTGAACAATGCTGCAATGAACATGGCTGTGCATATGTCAAAATATCTTATTGTACTGCTCTCACTCTACTTGTGATGATGTGAGATGATAGGATTTTTTTCTTTCCTTATTAAGTAGACAACTTTCACCTTTTCACTTAAAGGAAGTACTTTACAGCTTCTCTTTGGCATATCTGAATTGCCAGCATCACTACTCTCTTGCACTTCAGGGCCATTATTAGGTAAAATAAGGGTTACTTGAACACAAGCACTGACAGTCGATCTGATAACCTAGAAGGCTACTGAGTGACTAATGGCTGGACAAAGGAATGATTCACATCCCAGGCAGGACAGCGCAAGATTTCATCACACTACACAGAACGGCGTGCAATTTAAAATTTATTAACTGTTTATTTCTAGAATTTTCCATTAAATATATTCGGACCGCAAATTGACCGTGGAATTAAAACCTCGGAAAGCGAAATCATGGATAAGGGGGGACTACGGTATTTTAGTATTATGGTCTTTAAAATGAGTAAATTCAGTACTACTAGGTTTTCATTATTTAATGTAACTTTTACCTTTAAATTTTGATTGTGAAATTTACTTTATCAGATACAATGTAAGCAATCGCTGCTTTTTCAACATTTGTTCCAGCATGAAAAAAATACACCATACCTTCATTTTAATTTTTTTTCATTTAAAGTATTTGCATCTTATATACCTGCATAATTAAATTTTGTTTTATTTTCTAAATTGGGTGACTCTTCTTTTTAAAGATAAATTGAGCCCATTTACATTTTGTAATTATAATAGACCTCTGTGGAATGAATGCATAAATGAATTTTCGAATTCTTCACTCTTAATTTTTTTAACCTTAAGTACATGTACACACATATAATGAGAGACAAATGCAATCTTATTTGCTTAGCTGACTTGGTGATACACAATATGAATTAAATGGGACTTTTATTTGCTTTCTCTTCTTTCCGTGAAAGCATGATTTTCTTATGTCAGCTCTGTAGTAAGATATTTCCTCCTCAGGATTAGTTAGAACTGAACTAGAAGAGGACAGAGTCCTATTTTCAATTCAAACAAAGAAAAAATATCCAGATTTGACAACAGACTAGTGGTTATGCCATTTAACAAAATGAATCTAATAAACACAGTAAATGTCTACAAACATAAGGCCTTCACAAGCTTACGGCGCAACCCTATGCCACAGTCACTCACAGTAACTCAACTACCTTCACATTTGGCAATAATGTCATACAAATGAATGTGCTGATGATAAAGAAAATTACTAAGTGAACCCAAGGCCACTTAATCTTAAGAGTCACAACAACAAAGAAATCCTAGGAATGCAGGTCAAGGCAGGAGGTTGCAGCTGCCAGATATGGTTCCATTACGCTAGTTCTCATCTAAGCTAAGTTGAAGCTAAATCAAAATTTGCTGCAACAAATAAAATAAATATCTCCTCTGAATTACTAGAAAAGAAAGGAAAATAACAGGTATTACTCAGCACCATTCTGTGACCATAAAATTATTTCTTGAATGCATGATTAAAAGAAAAAGACGGTCTTTGCAAATAATATTACCTTTCTTATGTGTTCACATTAGAAGCTATACTTCTGGATTAAAAACATTATTCAGTGTTTGCTTGAGAATAAAATTTAGGCATTATGACTTTCAACATATTAAGAGTTCCATAGGAAAAACTAAGACATCTTTTAATTCTACTTTAATATCAAACTAAACAGAACAACTTAAAATTTCACTAAGAGCATGGATTGGTCCAATTCAAGAAGTGCTTCCAAAATTCAGCCACCTAGCTTCTGTTCAGGACAAAATGTACATCATCACAAATCTTTTCTAACTTAGCTTTTGGAGAAGAAAGTGGAAAATCAACCCATGGCATGATGGTTGTAGTAAGGTATTTCCTCCTCATCATTAGGATTTTGCACTGTTACATGCTATTCTATTTCAACAGGTGATTCAACTGGTCCTGTAGATCTGATGACTGCTCAACACTAGAAATTAGAATAGAGAAAAGGGCTTAGCTGGAATGAACAATAAAGGTATCTCTTGCACAAGCTATTTGTACTTTAATATGTAAATATTGTTCAAATTAAATCAACATTTATACTGCTCCATTTGTGTCCCAGAAGTGTTTAAACTATAAAGAAAGGTTTGCAAAGCAAATTAACAGTGTAAACAATATTGCAAGGGACACTTAAGAAAACCAATGCCTTCAGCACATTTACTGTACTTAATGAATGCTACCAATGTAAAAAGTGTTCTCTATTCCTTAAGACTGGCCTCCACACCCAGTGACTTTTAGAAAGGCTTTACTAGCAGTAAATTGAGTTATACATGCCTTTGAAAGAATACACGATACTCATCCCAGACCAAATGTCACTTTACGGCCACATGTCAGCCAGAGTTTCACATTGATCCTGGGCCTATCAGTGTAATTCCCCCCAACCTGTTTCAGTTAGTCCTCCACTCCCCTACCCTCGGGGTTACTTACTTCTTCTGAATAGCTTCTTGCCTATATCAGAAAAGGAAAGAGGAAAATAAACTCAGTGAACTAGCAGAAGTTATTTATGACCAGATATATACAGGCAAAACAAATTCCCAGCTTATGTCACATTCTATATTGCTGTCAGTCCTATCCTAAGATTGTGCTACAGGGGACTGGATTCCTATTTGAGTGTAGAGATGAAAAAAGATGTATCCTTAACCTGAAGAAATCAAAAACCCGTTGCCATGGAGTTGATTCTGACTCACAGTGACCCCACAGGACAGAGCAGAACTGCCCTATATGGTTTCCAAGGCTGTAAATCTTTACGGAAGCAGATCGCCACATCTTTCTCCCACTGAGCAGCTGGTGGGTTCAAAACACTGATCTTTCAATTAGCAGCCAAGTGCTTAACCACTGTGCCACCAGGGCACGATTCGAAACCTAGAGGTGTATTAGTACTCTACCAGAGTGAGGAATGTTGTCTAACACACTACATGCATGGCTCAAATTCAGTCTGGGTATGTGAAGTCAAATGATCACATACCTTCTATGAACATACTCAAAGAACAGCCATGACAAACATTAGCTATTTAAATATCAAGAGTTAAATGCCCAACTGTACATTTCTAATAGGTACATAAATACAATATCCACTACATAAAATATAAACCAACATGAAATAAGATGAAAACCAAATTAAATTTTAAATTTATCAGAAATTATAATGAAAAAGGAGTCTTTATATCAAATTCTCCTGGATGATTTATATGTAGTTAGGCCCATGTTACAGGTGGGGATGTTGGATACAGGTTGCAATTACACTTAATTCCTTAGTGAAGGAGCAGACTGCCCAGGAGGGACCTTGGGCACAGACAGTCAACAAATACTGATTAAATGCCTATGAGGTGCCAAGCGCTGGGCTAGCATGGTCCTGGCATGATCCCTGTTCTTATATGAGGTTTACTGTCTCTCCCTCAGAGAAGCCCTCAAACTAACACAGGTTTGTAAAAGATGGCTCCTGCTCCTGCTCTCACCCCCTAGCCCAACCTCGTCTGCAGTCTCAGGCATCTTTTCCAGAGAGGACTTTATTCCCACCATACTCCTGCTTCCACGGGAAAATGCTCTAAACACAAAGGCAATAAGAAGGAGGCTGAGGATAATGGCTTTGCAGCAAACAGTCGCTGGAGAGGTCATACTCACTGGTATTGAAGATGCGTTGTTATTATTGCCATTTTCCTTAAACTCTGCATTTAAAAAAAAAAGTAAAAAAAAGTAACAGAACATTCCACTTCTCTGTAGCCAAACTATGTATATGAAACCCAAGTCACAAAAGAAATTGTTTCTTACATCCTCTGAGTGCAAGATGGCATCTTCCTGTAGTACCATGTTTCGAGCTGCCTGACCTAGCAGCTGGAAGACAAAAATAAAATGGTAATTATCAAATTTTCCAAATTTCCTGTCATCTCTCTGTAGCTGTTACACACCACCCACTCCTCTCCTCCACTTCCCCACCGCTTACAACCATAAACACTCAAAATGTAATGGAGAATAATTTTCCATTTGTTCATCCATTTCACTGGCACCATGGCAATCCTGGCATGGGCTCGACATCTGTTCCAAAGGCCACTGCCTGAGAAATCAAGTGCTCCGTAACTGCTAAGCTCTCTACATAGCTTAATAATCAAGTGCTAAGAGGAGAAATCTGTAAAAAAAGACTTTGGCTCCACACGTCCAGCGAGAGAATCCAACTTCTAATTCATTATAGGCAGATTCGAGACTTGGATGATTGGAAAGGAGTGTTGTTAGTTGCTACTGAGTCACTTCCAACTCATGGCAACCCCATGTGTGCAGAATAGAACTGCTTCCATAGGGTTTTCAAGGCTGTGATCTTTCAGAAGCAGATCGCCAGGCCTGTCTTCTGAAGCGTCTCTGGGTGGGTTCGAACGGCCAACCTTTTGGCTAATAGTCTAGCGCTTAACCATTTGTGCCACCCAGAGACAGGAGTGAGGAAGCAGGACCTAGGGCAGGAATGAAAAAGAGGAATGTAGCTGTTTAAAAATGGAATGAGAGACATACAGGAAAAAAAAAAGGTATCAGAAGAAGCTCAAGCTCTAATGTAGGAAACCGCTCCTTGAAGGATGGCCAGATGAGGCTAGGGAAGAGAAAAGAAGGGAGAAATGTGATGGAAGATTTTAATGAGTCCACTGATAACTGGGCCCTGAGATCATGAAAAGGAAATCAGAAAAGGACCTCTGATGCAGCTGGGTGGCCTGTGGTCAATTCATGCACAGGTCAACAGAGGTTTCTGGTCTAATGCTGCACCCACCCTGTTCCTGGCATACACAGGTTAAATTCTACTACAGAAGAAGCCCACGTGAAAAATATGTAAGGAAGAGGAAGGAGCAAGCCGTATCAGGGCAGACAATGGTGGCACAGTGGCCTTTTGGTCACTTAACCAAGCTAGTATATAAGAGGCAGTGTTTAAGGGGGTGGGTCTAGAACCAGTCTCGGTCTGAATCCTAGCTCTACCACTTCCTAGCTAGTATGTGACCTTGGACAACTTAAATTCCTCTCTGTATCCTCTATGTCAATAAAGTACTTCCTTTATTAGTGACTGTAAAGAGTCAATGAATTAAACTGTATAAAATACAGCAGTGTCCAGCATATAGTAAACACTGAATAAATTTAAGTTTGTTATGATGAATATGGAGCCCTGGTGGCACAGTGGTTAAGAGCTCGGCTGCTAACCAAAGGGTAGGCCATTCAAATCCACTAGCTACTCCTTGAAAACTCTATGGGGCAGTTCTACTGTGTCCTATAGCGTCACTATGAGTCGTCGGAATCAACTCGACAGCAACGGGTTTGGTTTGGTTTGGTTTATGATAAATATGGATGTTCAATACATACTAGTGGTTAACAATGAACACCACCTATTGTTTTTATTATATTTTTTCCTTGATTTGAAGCTGGTTTTTTAAAATATTTTATTATGATTCTAGAGAAAATTTACACAGCAAATTAGGTTCCCATTTAACAATTTCTATACATATTATTCAGTGACATTGGTTACACTTTTCACGATGTGTCAGCATTCTCATTATTTCCATTCTGGTTGTTCTGTTTCCATTAATCTAGCTTCCTTGTCCCCCCTTACCTTCCTGTCTTTTGTCTAGGGTAAATGTTGACCATTAGGTCTCATTTAGATGATTGTTTAGAGGAGCACAGTACTCACGGGTGATATTTACTTATAAGTCACTCTGTCTTTTGACTGATAGGTGACCTCTGGGAGTTTCTGAGTTCCAAGTTTAAAGGTTATCCCAGGGCAATCGTGTTGGGGGTTCCTCTAGTCTTTACCGGTCCGGTAAGTCTGGCCTTTATTAGGAATTTGATTTTTGTTCTACATTTTTCTCCCATTCTGTCTGAAAGCTTCTATTGCATCTCTGGTCAGAACAGACAGTAGTGGTAGCTGGGCACCATCTAGTTCTTCTGGTCTCAAAGTAGGTGAGGCGGTGGTTTGTGTAGATTATTAGTCCTGTAGACTAGTTTCTTCTTTGAGTATTTGGTTTCCTTCTTTCTCTTTTGCTCCAGACACATACAGGCCAACTGACGTATCTTAGAGGGCCACTCACAAGCTTTTAAGACTCCAGATGCTACTCACCAAACTAGGATGCAGAACATTATCTTTATGAACTATGTTATACCAATTGACCGAGTTGCCCTCTGAGACTATATTTTTATATGCTGCTTCTCCAAAAACAACTGAAGGCAATTTATAGCAAACTATATGTATATATGTATGTATGTGGGGGCAGTGGTGGTTCAGTGGTAGAATTCTCACCTTCCATGTGTAAGACCCAGGTTTGATTCCGGGCCAATGCACTTCAAGCACAACCACTACTCATCTGTCAAGTGGAGGCTTGCATGTTGCTACGATGCTGAACATGTTTCCATGGAGCTTCCAAACTAAGACTGACTAGGAAGGAAGGCCTGGTGATCTACTTCAAAAAAATCAGTCATGAAAACCCTATGGATCGAAATGGTGATCACGACATGTATGTATGTATGTATGTGCATATATGAATGATACATACACATACATATTCTTTTAAACAGTCATGAATCTAAAGAGTCATAAAATAAATGTCTACCACTAAAGCTGAAATAGAAACTTCTATGCAACCAAGGCAAAAAGTGAAACACGATGAGTATATAATTCTTATTATTTGATAAAAGATAACAACTCTTCAAAAAGAGATAAACTTTCCTCTGACACTGAATCCTAAAAAGAGTGTACTGTGTGAGACCTCTCAAAAGCATATTTGGGATCACCAAGTCAGTGACATCAACGATAGTGTTATAGTAAATGCAAGCTCCTTCTTCACACAGTTGTTTCTTGTAGCCACTATCAGTAACAGCTAAGGACATAACAGTAAAGTTACTTCTGTAAAGCTACTTCTACTGAGCCCAAAGCTAGTATGAGTAAAATTGCTATGAACATTCATATACAAGTCTTTGGATAGGCATATGTTTTCTTGGGTAAATATCTAGGAGTGGAATAACTGGGTCATTTTGTTCATTCATTCAGCTGTTAATGGGCATTTCGATTGTTTCCAGTTTGGAGATATCACAAATAAAGGAGCTATGAACATGTACAAGTGTTTATATGGACATAAATTTTCATTTCCCTTGGATAAATACCTAGGAACACAACGGCTGGGTCCTTCTGGTTAAAAACTGGGTGTACGTATATAAAGCTTTCTAGTGAGAAAAGCCAGGAGAAACGGAGAGGGAGAAACCAGGGGAAAGGATATGGCTAATATAAGAAAGAGAAAACCAACAATGTGGACAGAATGACAAGTCAGGAAAGAATAAATCCATAAACAAATGATGCACAAAGATGTGGAAAGAATTTGGAATACTGAGGGCAAACTATGCGGACTTTGGGAGCTGAAAGGGACCCGATCATCATAGAAAACCCTGAGAAACAAATGAAAAATTGGTTAGGAGTACCAGTTCATCCCTTTAAAGCAGATTCTCATCATCTCGTTTCTTTGCGTCCTATCCCTGTAGTAAGGCGCCCTAATGGCGCAATGGTTAAGTGCTCGGTTGCTAACTGAAAGGTCGGCGGTTCTAACCCACCAGCAGCTCTGCGGGAGAAAAGACCTGCTGATCTGCTCCCATGAAGATTACATACAGCCTAGGAAACCCTATGAGGCAGTTCTACTCTGTCCTATAGAGTCGCTATGAGTCCAAATGCACTAGACAGCAAACAACAACCTCTAGCCCTACCCGGTGGGGCAGTGGTTAAAGCGCTGGGCTGCTAACTGAAAGGTCAGTGGGCTCGACATCCACCGCTCTGGGCAAGAAAGATGTGGCAGTCAGCTTCCGTAAAGATTTACAGTCTTGAAAACCCTATGGAGCAGTTGTATTCTGTACTATAGAGTCACCATGAGTTGGAATCCACTCAACAGCAGCAGGTTTTTTCAGTTTAGTCCTAACCAGAGACTACACGCCCCAGAACGCCACCCGCGGCCTTCGCGAACTGCTCTACTCTAGGCTACAAGGTCGCAGCCTACAACTCCCAGGATGCAACGCGACCCTGCGGTACACAGCGATGAAGGAGGTGTTAGTTCCGGAGAGCCCACTTCCACCTCACCTCGGAGCTCCGGGAGCCCTTCAGCACCTGCTTGGTGAGCGCGATCACATCAGTACCACAGGTGTTCACCTTCTCGGTGAGAAGCCCTTTCACGGACTGACCGAAGCGCGCTTGCGAATCCGGTGTTCCAGTCGCCATCACCTTAGCTAGCGAACGCCTCCGCACGGATGATGGCGAGTCGGTGGGGCCAAAAGAGGTTAACGCGGAAGGAAAAGGGGAAGCACTTTTTTTCCTACCGTGGGAAAAAGAAAGGACGCGTGCGCTTAGGGGAGGTCTTTGCCAACTTTAAATAAACTTAAAATACTCAGTTGATATCCTGAAGACAGGGCTTAGACAAACATCTCAAGAGGAGATGGAGGACTATTTCAGTAAATCCCTGGTTTAGAATTAGAAGGCTTGATACTTAGCAGTAGTGTGACTGCAAATTACTCAACCTATGTGTCTCAAGCTCCTCATCTGTGAAATAGAAGTAATAATGTTAAAGTCTCCAAAGGGTTATAAGGACGAATTAAGTTCATACATTTCAATTTTAACAAACATTTCATGAATTAAATACCAAACACTGTGTTAGGCTGGGGATAGAGAAAGAATTGAGATACATACAGTCCTTGTCTCCAATGAGCTCCCGGGGTAAGACACACAAGCGTGTAAACAAACAAGGAAGAACAACCCAATAGAAAAATGGGCGAAGGATACCAACAGGCAATTCAAAGAAAAAGAAATTCAAATGGCTAATAAATGTAAAAAATGCTCAACATCCCTCATAATTTTTAATGACAAATAATCTGTATTCTTTTAGATACAAACTGATTATCACTTTGGAAGTGAATAAATATGTAAAATGTTTCATGTAGTTCCATATCTTTTTTGGATAATGCACAAGAAAGATAAGAATGGCATTACATTGCAAATTTTCTTCAAAATTAACCTGTACTCACTGTCAACCTTACTGTCTTTTCCAAATGTTTAGACTATATGTCTCTGTTTACTCTTTCATTTAACTCTTGTTCATAATCAGCTTTCTTGAGGTATAATTTATGTACAATAACTGCATTCTTTCAAAGTGTACAATTTATACAATCAAACACTTCGAGGGACAAAGTACGAGGGGTGGGGGTCTGGGGACCATGCTTTCAGGGGACATCTAGGTCAACTGGCATAACAAAGCTTATTAAAATGTTCTGCATCCTACTTTGGTGAGTGGCATCTGGGGTCTTAAAAGCTTGCAAAAAGCCATCTAAGATGCATTAGTTGGTCCCAACCACTTGGAGTAAAGAAGAATGAAGAACACCAAAGATACAGGGAAAGTATTAGCCCAAGAGACAGAAAGGGCCACATAAACCAGAGACTTCATCAGCCTTAGACCAGAAGAACTAGATAGTGCCTGGCTACCACCAATGACCGTCCTGACGGGGAACACAACAGAGGGTCCCTGATGGAGCAGGAGAAAGGTGGGGTGCAGAACTCAAATTCTAGTAAAAAGACCAGATTTAATGCTCTAAGACTGGAGGAACCCCAGAAAGCACGGCCCCCAGATTCTATATCAGCCCAGAACTAAAACAATTCCTGAGGCCAACTCTTCAGACAAAGATTGGACTGGACTGTGGGACATAAAATGATACTCATGAAGCGTGTGCTTCTTAGCTCAAGTAGATACATGAGACTAAACAGGCAGCTTATGTTCGGAAGTGAGATGAGAAGGCAGAGAGGGTTAGGAGCCAGTTGAATGGACATGGGAAATCAGGGGAGGAAAGGAAGAGTGTGCTGTCACAGTACAGGGAGAACAATAAGGGTCACATAACAATGTATGTATAAATTTTTGTATAAGAGACTAACTTGAAATGTAAACTTTCACTTCAACTACAACAATAAACAACAAAAAAAAACAAAGTACAATTTGATGAGTGTGACAGATGTATACACCTGTGAACCACCACCTCTATTAAGATACAGAACATTTTCATCACTCCCAGAAGTTTCCAAGTGCCCCATCTTTTACCTGCCACCTCAGGCAACAACTTATCTGCTTTCTGGCACTATAGATTAATTTGCATTTCTAGATTGTTATATAAATGGAATCATACAGGAAGTACTCTTTTTTTGTCTGGCTTCTTTCTCTCAGCGTAATAATTTTGAGAGTCATCTGTGTTGTATGTATCACTAGTCTGTTGCTTTGTATTATTTTCCAGTTGCTACCAAGTTGATTCCAACTCATGACAACCCCATGTGTGTCAGAGTAGAACTGTGGTCCATGAGGTTTTTTTCAAAAGCTGATTTTTTGCAAGTAGATCACCAGGCCTTTCTTCCAAATTATCTCTGAGTAGACTCTAACTGCCAGCCTTTTGGTTAGCAGCTGAGCACTTAACCATTTGCACCACTCAGATTCTTAGTCTGTTCCTTTTTATTGCTGAGAAATATTCCGTTCTATGGATATATGTCATTTTGTTCATCTACTCACCTGTTGGTGGACATTGAGTTGTTTCCACTTTGGGGCTCTTATGAATAAAGCTGCCATGAATATCCTAGGAGTGGAATGGCTGTGTCATATGGTAAGTATTTGTTTAACTTTTCAATAAACTGTCAAACCATTTTCCAAAGTGGATTACCATTTTACATTCCCAACAGCAGTGTATGAGACCCCACTTTCTCTACATCCACAAACCTAGGAAAAGATCGATTGTTCTAACCAGGGTGGAGAAGGAGAGTGTGGACACATCGCAGAGATTGCAACCAATGTCACAAAACAATTTGTGTATTAATTGCTGAATGAGAAACTGATTTGCTCTGTAAACTTTCACCTAAAGGACAATAAAAAGAAAAAAAATTCTCTCTAATCATTAGTTTACTCTCTATTTTTGCAGAGAACCTAATTTATATTAATAAAAATTGTCTAGCTCTTTGTCTTCTAAATAAAGGCTTTACTATATTTAAAAAAAAAATAGATTGTTCTATAGCCATGATAACAAATAGCCACCTGTGGTAGACAGACTCTTAAGGTGGCCTCCATGATCCTCACCTCCTGGTGTTTATGCCCGTGTGATCCTCTACTCTTGAGTGTGGGCAGGACCTATGACTTACTTCTAATAGTATACAGCAAAGGTGATGGGAGGTACATGATTACATGCACATGGTTATGTGATTACATTATATAAGACTGTAAAGTCCATCTAGCTGGAGTCTCTCCCTTGCTGCCTATGAGGAAGCAAGCAGCCATTTTGGGGAACCACACGTGACAAGGAACTGTTCTAGGGTAAAAACACCATAAAGTTATAGTAAAGCAAAAAGAAGGGTTTTATTAGGTATATGTTCAAAGAGGCAAAAGTAGGAAATAGACAAGCAGGCTTCCACAGCCATGCCTGCCCAAATCCAAGGAATATTATAGAATCATCAGCATATTAACATTACAAATGGGTAAAATCATTGAAAGCTTCACCTTTTCACAGATTGACTGAAAACTCCTAAATCACTGTGATTCTACATTTTGAATTGTCTTTTTTAATACTCATTGGTCCAGGTTTCAGTAAGGACAGTCAGGAGGGTCTTCATTGGTCCAACAAGTCTTACTATTCACTAAATGCTAATAGAAAAAGAGAGTGGAAAGTCTGGGGGTCTTTTGTGCTGTTTATGATTTGTTTATATGAAAGGTTCCCTAAAAGATGTTTTCCGAGATTGTCCTAGCCATTGTCTTTATACCTCAGAACCCAGTTGATGTGTCTTTGTGAGTCCTTGTGGGTCCTTGTGAGTCCAGCTCCAGCTGGGTAACATTCTTTATACTCAAGGACAGGGAATAATGGCTCCAATATTATTTCCTAAATCAGAACTACAAACAGCATCTAGTCGCTAAGGGCTGAGGTTCCAGATGACAGCCAGCAAAAAACAGAAGCACGTAATCCTACAACCATAAGGAACTGATTGCTGCTGATAACCAGGTGAGTACGGAAACAAGACCTTCTCCAATAGAGCCCCTAGATGAGAACCCAGCCCTGGCCAACATCTTGATTGTAGCTTTGTGAGACCCTAAGCAGATGACCTAGTAAAGTCGTGCTTAGGTTCCTGAGCCACAAAAACTATTGGATAATAAACGTGTGTTGTTTTAAGCTACTAAATTTGTGGTAATGTTGTTACACAGCAATAGAAAACGAATACACCACCAGAACTGGTTTTAAATCTGTTTAGTCAGTCAAAGACAACTTGCCTCACTGAACACCGTTTTACAAACCAAACAGTCAGGGTCTGCCCCTTGCTTCTGAAAGTCAGTCAAGCACAGATCTACTGCAATAATCATAGCTCAGAGTGCCAGTCAATCAACAATAGCCTCATTCAAGTATCAACCTGCTTATGTCCATCAGTCCCTGAATTCCACACTTCCCAAAAACCCGATTGTTATGGATTGAACTGTGTCCCCCAAAAATATGTGTTGAAAATCCTAACCTCTGCCTGTGGTGGAGCCCTGGCGGCACAGTGGTTAAGAGCTTGGTGGTTAAGAGCTTGGTTGCTAACAAAAAGGTTGGCAGTTCGAATCCACCAGGCCGTTCCTTGGAAACCCTATAGGGCAGTTCCACTCTTACCTATAGGGTCACTATGAGTCAGAATCGACTCAATGACAATGGGTTTTTGGTTTTTATACCTGTGGTTATAATCCCATTTAGGATTATATGTTAATGAGACAGGATTAGTGTAGGGTGTATCTTGAGTCAATCTCTTTTGAGATATAAAAGAGTAAACAAGCAAGAGAGAGAAGCAGAGATGGGGTAAGATAGATGCCAAGACATATGGAGATCTCAAAGGAACCAGGAAGCAGAAGCCTAAAGACCCTTCCTCCAGAGCCAACAGAGAGAGAAAGCCTTCCCCCCCAGCCGGCACTCTGAATTCGGACTTCTAGTCTCCTAAACTGTGAGAAGACAAATTTCTGTTTATTAAAGCCATCCACTTGTGGTATTTCTGTGATAGCAACACTAGATAACTAAGACACCGATTGAGATCAGCTGTCTACTCTGCTCAGAGAGACTGCCTATTCTCCCATATTATGATGCTGGTCTTTTTGCTAACTGCTGTCCGGTCAAAACAATTAATTCAACTTTGTCTTTCTATTTCAGATATTGAGATATAGTCTCATCATCCTTTGACAGTTTTGGAGGCTCTACCAAGATCATTTTGAAGACCTTTACTTGGCAGCATTCCAGGGACCCTTAGACCAACAGGTGCACTCACTGGATCCCTGGTGCCCAAATCTGCTTGTCCTTCAGGTCTTCTGCCAGGTGAATTAGTCTCAACAGCATTTTGAATTCTGACTAGCTTCATTGAGCTCTTGTTGCTGAATTTATTTTGTTATTCTGTGATTTGTAACCAAATGGTTTTTGCACAAGATCATTAGACTCAGGTCTTTGTATAAGGTAATCAAGCCTAGATCACTGTATTAAGCAATTATGTTACTGCCAACGGCATGGAGGCCCTCCGGACTCAATGGGCCCTTGTCTTTCTCTTGTAAGAGTACACAGAGGAGACAATTTCTGGGTTCCGCTCTAACAGGTAAAAGTAACAAGTAAAAGGAGTCAGTCAAGGGCTGACTCACAAGGAGAAGCAAGGCTAGGGCTTATATGGGTTCGGTGCGGACAATAGAGCAATGAAGATTCAGTGGGTTTCTTCCAAGCGGTGGGTACTCCTTGGAATGGTAGTGCACACTAATTAGGTTGCTTGCACTTCTGGAATCCAAGATGGAACCTGCTGACATTCAAGACGGAGTCC